ACGGTAGCAGGCAGCTTGTTGTAGTTGTCGGTGGTGGTGATGTTGGCGTTGAAATGAGGATGGTCAAGGAGAAGAGGGTCAGTGTCGTCGTCGAGGTCATCGGTAACAATAATGGTAGTGGTGGTAGTAGTGGAGGTAGTGGAGTCAGCAGAGTCAGCAAAATCAGCAGCAGAAGTAGTGGGTTCGTCGTGGTCAAGGTCGTCAAATTGGTCGTGTTGAGGTGGTACAGTTGCATTCTCCCCTTCACCTCGAGCACGGGGAACAACTTTGACGTGGATGGTCTCGATGATAGTGTTGGTGTCAGGGCAGTAGACCTTGTGAGAGAGTGAAGTCGGCGAAAAGCCCACATAAATACCGTGGCGGGCCTTGGGACCGAGCTTGCCACCACGGCGCAGCGGGTCAAAGGCAAAAGCGTCGGCGCCAAAGGGGTGCAAGTCGCGGATGTCGTGGGGCTTGATGCCGGTGAGGAGCTCATAGGCACAATAGCCATTGAGGTGCTCCTTGGGGCGGATGTTGATGAGGTACTCGGCGTGCTTGGCAGCAAGGGCCCAAAAGGACGGGTCACGGCCCGAGTCATGAAGGAGCAGGGCCATGGTATCTCGAAGTTCGCGGAAGACGGTTTCGATGGCGCCGTTCATTTCGGGAGTGTATGGTGGCGAGTGGCGCCATACACAGTTGAAGTGGCGCAGCTGTTCGCGAAAGGCCAAGGAGTGGTAGGGCCCGTCATTGTCGCTCTGGATTTTTTTCTGACATCTTGGCGTGAACCACGTTGTCAGACAAAATCTGCAACCCCGCTCCTTGCGGCCCGCGTTTTGGCGGCGCCCTCACTCCCACCGTGTCCGCTCGCTTGCTCGCTTGCTTGCCCCGCGGACATGGCCACTGAGTCCGGCGGCGAGGATTCTTGGACCCAGGTCCGCGGTGCTAAACGCCCGAGTGCCGAGTCACCTCCAAGCAACACCACCACCTCGCCTTCCCAAACTCATCGTTCTGCGAAACACACGAAACATGGCAGCGCTCGCCACGACCGTAACCATGTTTTCCCTGACCCTATGACCACCCCGTTTCGCCCTCGCGCCCGCCACTCTGCCTCTACCGCCCGTGCCTCGTCTCATGTGCCCTCGACGTCCCCCGCTGCCGGTGCGACCGAGTCTTCGGCACGTGCCGTCGTGCCCGCGGCCGAGCCAGTGACCAGGACGTCAAACGGCGGCGGGGAGCAACTTCCCATTCTCGGAAACACTTCCAATGCTTCTCCCCGCACCCCTCGCACGCCATCCAGCCCTCGCTCCTTTGCTCAAGTTGCTGCGGCAATGCCTGCCGCCGCCACTGCCACATCTTTGGCCCCTGTGACCGAGGATTTGTCAGCATCGGTGCCCTCTGAGCCAAATGGCAGCGGGGAGCAGCAACCCTCGCCCGAGTCCGCGAGACAGACACATCATTCGAT